CTCCGTAAGTCGAGCCTAAGAGCACGTAGCTATCATTCACGTGACACAAGCTGTCGTCAGAGTTGGGTCTTAGATTGGGGTTTAAAGCTGGGTTTAAGGAATTAAGACCCGAGCCGAAGCTTTTAAATCGCGGGCTCAGAAAACCTTTGAACGAGGTTACCAATTGACATTTATCATTGTTAATGATGAAAATCGAGGTATTCTAGGAAATTGAAGACTGAAGGAGTTACGATATACCAAAGTGCCAGTAATTCTGTATATATTAACTTCTTTCAAGGTTTACAATAAAACCTAAAAAATATTTGTGTGATGAGCTCTGAAACATTTATATTAGATCTTTTGGATAAATAATACATTTTGAGAACAATATTTTTTCCCTGCATAAATATTATTCATAAAATTGTAATAATTTTTGTCAGACACTAAATGATATCTTTATAATTCAGTTTTAGCCGGGAACTAGAATTTTCTATTCCCTATATCTTTGCAACCACGGTTAAACAGCTCTGCAGTGACTGCTTTTTTGCCCCTTACAATCAATTAAACATGGTATCTGAGTACATTTCAGGGGAAATATATAGATAAGATCAGAAAAGATATGTAATTTTTTTAGTTTTTTCAATATAAGTATAATCAATATCAATAATATGTTGTCAATATAGTTAAAATGCAAAGTACAGAAATATATATCTATGTTTGTATTACTATTATTACAACATTTGGTTGAAAATTAGTTTATGTTTTTATTGTATGTTTATTGTTTGGTTACATATACAACAACATTTTATAATTTAACAAGAAAACTCAAAACTGCAAGGTTAAGAAATACTAGAATATACTAGTTGAAGTGTCCGGCGTTGCCCGTGAGAAAAAAAATTTGAAAAAAATGTTGAAATAAAAAATTTTGAAAATAAAAGTTAAAAAATTTTTTTGAATTTTTTTAGCCTATAACACACACCGACCACCCACGAGTGTCCACAAAAAAATTCAACCCAATGGGTCCAGCCGTTTGGCCGGCTATACGCAACATATATATATATATATATATATATATATACGAATGTCTTGTTTTATTATATTGATTGTGTATATACATATATAAATATACATACTTTGCTTGATTGGGTATTTGTGTGTTTGTATCCTATAAACGTTAAAACAGCTGAACTGATTCGGCCCAATTTTTTTGTGACAACTCGCATAAGAAGGTTTATGGATGTTGAAATTCGACATTTTTACTTTTTTAGAAGAGAAAAGTAAAGTACGATTTACAGTGAAAAATGGCAGCTTGAATAGCAATAATTAACAGCAAAAGTTCTCATTAGAAAGTCCTAATATATATATATATACAAATTAGGACATTCTAATGAGAATTTTTGCATTTATTTTAAACTAGTAAAAATTAGAAATGTGCTTGACAACTGTCGACTAAGTTATTGCTAGACAACCTACTTATTCAGCTAGTTTTTAATATTCATGGTTCTATCGAGTTTCGTTATTCAAAATTTGAGTATCGGTCAAGGGGTTTCCTGAGTCATGATCGGACATACAAACAAACAAACAGACAGCGCTCCTGTATGCCAATTCCATTAGCGCCTGATCCAATCCAATCTTCAAAATTCTCAGCATCTGAATTGGTTGTTTGGTTTTCTGAAAACGCCCTTTTGATTGGTTGAAATTTATATAATTTTCTGGATTCAAACTAAAGATTAAATTAATTTTGAGATTAAAAAAAGATGAAATCTAGCATTGATCTCTATATCCTCAATTATAAAGTTTTCAGTCCAGGTCCATTTCATTTAATAAGTGATTTACTAAGTAAACCTGTTTCATAGTTTTCGGGTTCTAACTGTACCATAATGATAAATGTAAAAATTTAATCAACTAGAAATTCAAGGCGCTTCGCGCCCTTCTTTCTAGGCTTTTAGGGCGCTTCGCGCCCATCTTCTAAATTAATTGTGAACATGTTCTCTTTGTGTACATCGTAAAACAAAACAAAAATAATTCGCGGATTTTTACAAAAAATTTCGCGGATTTTCAACATTTTTAAAAATTTAATGACGATCGAATTTTGATAGAGACAAATATTTGAAATTTTGATTTTTCATAAACCTTCCCTGGGGTCCCTAGATGTCCCACAAAAAATTTGGCCCCGATCGGTTCAGCCGTTTTGACGTTTATTGGATACAAACAAACAAACAAACAGACAAACAAACAGACAGACAAGCCAAATTTATATATAGATGTAAATGTCACGTGATCATTGACTTTCACTTCGTATTCATATCCATCTATCACGTCGATGACGAGCAGAATTTTCAAAACCAAAGAAAGTCGGATCAAGGTAGAAATCTTCCAAACCAAACCTTTGAGAAAAATTGAAAATATAACTTTGAACAAAATGCCCTTGGAAACAGTTCTGTGGTAAATAATTCAACTAATGTAGGCAACTTCATGAAAAAAGCTGATAATGGAGAAAGTGCACTTTTTAATTAAATGCCAGCGGAAAAAGGTACCAATAAATGTAGGAACAAAATAGTGAAATGAAAACCCTGCTCCAAATCCATTATATTGAATAATGGATCCAAACACTCTGGTCTAAATTCATTAAATTGAATTATGGATTCAAACCCCTTGCTCCAAATCCGTTATATTAAATAATTGATTTGAAAAAAACCTGCATTAAATCCAATCAAATCCAATCAAAGCATATGTTTTGAAATTGCATAAACATTCTTCATGCTATTTACACGCTTTAATCGCGAGTTGGCTCAATTCACCTCTAATTACAACGATAAGGTTCACGGAACTGGAAATTTTAATTAGATTTCTTATAAACCTGCTTCAATAAAATTTGTATTTTCAATGCCAAGCTGTGAAATATTGAAAGAAACAATGTGTACAGTGTACCCTGAAAATTATTCTAAAGAAAAGTGCAATTTAAAGAATAGAAGAAATCTTGATCATTTGTTCCCCGCATAACAAGCGACTAAAATGTGTCATGGGAATAACATGGCTTCTTAAAATCGCGTGTACATCAGGGAGTAAGGATTAAAAGGAAGATATAACTGACGCGGTTCGCCCTACCATATGATTATGCATGCTTTGCAGACGGTACTTCATTTGTATAAGAAATATTTGTCTGATGTACAATTACCGCGTATACAATAACCAATTCTGAATATTTCTTATACAAATGGAGTACCGTCTGCAAAGCATGCATAATCATATGGTAGGGCGAACCGCGTCAGTTGTATCTCCCTTTTATCCCTTACTCCCTGATGTACCTTCACACATCATACTTTATCTGTTAAAGAAAAAAGACTAGAAAATTATTTTGGCGCGGGCGTTTTCGTCCACTAGCAATGTCATGGTCAACATTCTATTGAACGAATCTTGTTAAGTCATTAAATTTTCTTCAAAACTTACATTTACGGATTTCGTAAAATATATTTTAAGCTCGTCATGTTCGGTTCGTCTTTAGAAATTTCGATATAGAAATTTACAACTTTTTCTTCCAAAATATACAATCAGATAAATCATGTATAACTATGCAATAATGCAACTATAGAAATTTAACCCTATTTCCCCCCCCCTCTATTTTTATATTGTGATTCAAATCTATAACAATTGATATATTTTTGGAAAGCCCTTTGGTTCTACCTCAAAAATCAATTTTATATTAAAAAATGTTCATCATCTGTTTGAAAGAAATCCTCAAAATAAATTTGTAATACATTGCCATATAATTATCTTATTCTTCAAATGTTTTAAGTTATGTAAAACAAAATTCTACAGAATGATGGTTAACTGGCAAATGCTATTGTATCTTTGCATTAATACTAAAGAAAGATGCAAAATATAATATGCCTTAACATTTTAAAGCATATAATTTGTTGTTCATGGTAAGAGATGGTAATAATATGAAATTAGAAAATGTATTTTAAAAGTTGAAAAATTAAACATCCTTTTTATAAGTTGAAGTTTAAAGTTTAAAGGAATCGAGTCTTTGGAACAAAATCAAATATTTAAACCTCAATATCTTTAGAACTCGATGTTGTAAACCTTTGATATTTCAAACTCAGATTACTTGATCTAACAGAATTCATGGTTTGAAATATCAAAGGTCTTCAACATTTGGTTAAAAAAATATAGGGATTAGAAAATCAGAGTTTGTGGCAAAGACTCAATTCCTTTTATAGTATAATTCCGATATTGTGTACGATATATATTGTGAACTCTGAGAATCACCAATGCGTAAATTGCGTAGAATCTAGAAAGGACATCAGGCACTGGGTACGCGCATTATCACCATGTCACGCTAGTGCTCCGAGAGGGCGCGCGTATATCTCCGGTATGCGTAGGAGAGACGAGATCATTTTCTCCTCAGTTCTTCTCAATGAACCCTCAGGAGCAGTCGAACTAAACTTTAACCCTAGAGATAGACTTCAACCTTAACCGTGTCATACAATTTTATTTTATTCAAATCAATCTTAATATTTATAATAATTTATCAATTGAAAAGTAAACATTGAATTAAATCCTTCGATATTAAAGTATACGCTATGGATATTGAGCGCCATTCAAAATCAAAAATGTTTATCCTCTGTATATTTAGATCTAGCAACACAAAAATTACAGAAGTAACAGACTTTTATATGGCATTTGTTCTGCTTTGTAAAACATTAAATTAATCTTCAAGGAATTGCCAAAAATTCAAATTTTCTAATCCCTATATCTTTCCAACCTGATGGTGTAAACCTTTGATATTTCTAGCCAGATTATTTTATCTAACAGAGTTCATAGTTTGAAATATCAAGGGTCTACGACATCGGATTGCAAAAATATAGGGATTAGAAAATTTGAGTTTGTAGCAACGCTCATCTATAGTTATTTTTTTTTGTACAGTCATATCCGATAAGTACGCTTTCCAAATAAAGATGGTTGATGTTGAATAGCACATCGCCATGAGTTCAATTAAATAGAAAAAAAAATTTAAGAAAACTTAACGATTTTTTTTATTATAGACATCATGCCGGCTCTAGATTTACAGATGATTGATACCCTTGGACGGGCACTTCACCCAGCTTCTGATCTTATGTCAGAGACAGAGGTAATAATGCAACCACTTGCACTCTACAGGGTGTCCCAATACAATCTCTTTTATCATACAGGGTGTCCCAATACAATCTCTTTTATCAAACAGGGTGTCCCAATAATCGTCGTTGATCTCCACTGGAATATTTCTGCACATGGAATTAAATAAATTCGAAAAAAATCATGTTTTTGGGATTTATAAAATGTGGTCTGTCATTTGCACCTTAAAAATTAAAGTGTTGAATTGATTTAAAAATCAAACATATCGGAAACAAAAGAAGATCTCCACAGTCCCATGTTAATGAAACGCCCTGAACTAGAAACCCTTTGGATCAGAAACGTCGCTGAGGATTTGGTAATTTGATTATTTGAAAACATGTCATTTATATGAATTAAAATTCACAACATTCTTAGCGAGATTTATTAATAAAAAGAAAGAACGAAGACAAAAAGAATTCCAATTTTTTCTGGTTACCATACTACAATTCTTCTATCCTTAAGTGACACAAGACACTTCATGCTCTTGTCTGAAGGACGAATGATATTTCTTTTTTTCTATCTGAAAATTGATCATGAATCTGGTTTCTTTTTTAAAGTGACAATTGAGGACTTTGAGTCAAAGAAGGAAATTGTAATAATTAAACACTTATTATTTCTTTTTTTGCATACAATTATTATTCCCTCGTTCTGTTTTTATTTATTTTCTAAAGTGAGAACTAAATAACTGTGGAATAGGAAGACGACATTAAAGTAATATTAACATTTTACAGTGTATTTTATGTTGTTCCAAAGTAAATAGTTTTACTAAGTAGTTAAAAATAGTTGTTAAGTGAAACGGTCTTCCTGCACAGTACACTATTGTTGTGGCTCAATGTGATCTATATTGACTTGAGTATAAATGGCGTCTTCCTATTCCAGAGTTTTCCGGTTCTCACTGTAAGCTCACTTTATGTCTTTGAAGTGTGATAAAAATATATTTTGGGGCATATCATTTTAAGATCTCAGATTTTTGTAAAGCCTTGTAAAAACCATAAAACCCGGAATGTTAAAAAAAACATTCAAGCACATTTTCAGCATTATAATTTCCTTATACATACGTTCCTTACTTTTCGTCCGTTCGTCTGTCCTTTATTCCCCCCTTCCCTCCCTTGACCTTTATCACCACCGCGCCCCTTCTCAAAGGACTTATTTCTTCTCTCATTAAATATTTAATGTTCGAAAAAGGAATTGAGTATTTGCCAAAAACTCAAAGTTTCTAACTCCTATGTCTGTGCAACTTAGATTATTTAACCTAACAGAAATCATAGTTTTAAATATCTAAGTTCTACGACAATGGATTGTAAAGATATAGGAATTACAAAATCAAAGTTTGTAGCGAAGACTCAATTTCTTTGTTGGATTAAAAAAGGTTGTCAGGTTTCTAGACCCTATTTCTGAGAACATGGTAATTGGTTGAATAAAATAAAAAATACGATTCTACTTCTTCAAGAAATCCATTCACATTAGGGTAAATGATATTCAGAATATAGATACCAGTTTTAATGAGTAGTTGAACCGCATATACTAGGTTGAACCACTTCTCTCACACAGGTCTTGCGCTTTAGTGATTGTAAATTGGCGGTACAGTCCAAACTAGGACCGCTAAGGTTAACCCAACTCGGATATTCAAATGTGCACCGGTTGTGCGTACTCTTCAGCTTGTTGTTCAACTTTGTCTCCGTGGTTCAACAATGTTCGCTAATTCGGATTTTAAAAGGTCNCCCCTATCCATATAAAATCAAGCAACCACCCGTGATTATATTTCATCTCATAGTATTTCTACTGTGCATTTAATATAAAAAGCACGGAAAAACAAATGAACAATTCGTAAAAAGAACTATTCAACCCTTTCTTCTCAGTTCTTTCTTATCTAACATAAACCAGGAGAAAACTTTAACCTTGAGGGGAACAGATGACATCATATCTTTCTTTAATTCATTTACGTTTTATACCTCCTAGAAACGTGACATTCAAAACTGCAAATCATTCTCTATATCTTTTTATCTATCGTAAGTTTTACCGTGTAAATAGTACAAAGCAATCACCCACAATTCTTCACAAGTCACAACATCCGGCCTGAGTATGGAGTACTTAAGAAATAACAATTTAATTGCAACATAAATCAAACAAATTATAGATATTTGCGACCTTTTTAGTTTGTTGGAAAAGCAAAGAAAGTGAAAGAATTATTGTATAAATTTAAAAGATTTTTTTTTAATTTTAGTTGGATATTGGGTACATTTTTATTGGATATTTGCTGAATTTTCAGTCAGTTTTAAGTAGATTTTGTATGACCTTGACATTTAGTGGTTATTTTAGTAGATTTTCAGTGAAGTTTTGTTGGATTTCCTGTCAAGCCTTTAAACCAACTTTTTACTTTTCAAGGTTTGCCCCTGGACCCTGTTCCTGACTATGTCCCTGACCCTGTTGAAGGGATTGATGCCCCATATCCCCGCGATGCTCCCCCTGCTTGTCTCCGACCCTGAGATGAGAGAGAGGGCTGAGGAGACCTTCTTATCCCCTGAGTTCCAGGAGAACATTGAGGAATACTTCGTCAATAATATTAAGGTAATAATATCAATGGTAGAAAAGGATTCAAATTGCTAAAAGTAGAGATGTAGAAATGTCATATTTAGTATTTTATACTCTTTTGTATTTTAAATGAAGATTAAAATGCTAAAAATATTTTATCACTTCATAGTAGTTAGATTATGATAAAAACTGGTTTTTTATAAACTTAAATTAAGTTTTTTCGAAAATATTAGACTTGAAGGAAGAAATAAAGTGCTTGATTAATATCGGACAGTTTTCAACATTGTTGAGTGATAATTCGAATTATCAAAAATTGTTTTAAACTTTCTCGAGATGTTTGCATACTTTATGATAAAGCTCGTTATATCTGGCCTAACGACCTGGGCCAAATTGGATGACATTCTTTATGGGATCCAGGCAAAGTTGGGCACTTCAGCTGGTTGATATTCACACCTGTAAATCAATTAATCAATAACGATAATTAGAATAATAATTTACAATAATTCATATCGTTAAGACGATACCAAAGTTGTTTCTTTTCTCTCCAGTTCTACTTTCTGAGTAAACATTTTCAATAATAGTCATAAAGAAGATATTTTGATTATACATCAAACATACTTATTTTTTAATCTCTTTATGTTTATAAATTCCATGTTGGCGTTTATTTTATTTTAAACTGTAGAATTTTGTTTCATCTAAAGTTTAAAATATTGGAGGTACATTATGAGCACCATGATTTAAAATCAAAGTTTTAGGAGAGAAATATTCTTCTTTTTGTTGTTGAGCCTTTTAAAAACCGAAAAGGATATCGCCCATGAGTATAGCACTAAACATACATAATACTGACAATTGTCTTGTATATATACATATATCTTATTTACAAGACGCATTTTAGGTACTATCTACAGTACTTTGATATTATTAGCAAATATAAAAATATTTCATTATTTTAAATGACCCAATGAACATAAAACAAACCCATTCAACTTAACAAAGTTCAATCTACTGGTTTAACAACAACAAATACACATTAGATTACTAAAATGTCGTCTTTCTATTCCATAGCATTATGAGTCCCATTGTTCGATTGGTAAAAATGGCGGAGAAAGTTTCGCTACGTTCTCTTATTATGTTGTAATAATAATAAATGATCACGGGAGGACAGTTTTAGAATTTATGCAAACCTTCACAATGCATTTTTATGCATTCGTTTATAGATCTATAAATTCCAGCTTTACCAGGCTGCCAAAGTCCTTGAAATTCTAAATAAGTATTTGATAAATAAACTTGAAAATTTGAATAGTTTCAATTCAATTCACTTGGCTGATAAAAACCACACTATGTATTATATGATTATATCTATATTTTTTTGTTGATAGAAATTCTTGTAGAATGCATAGATTGAATCCGTTCATTGATTACCCCCCCCCCCTTCACTTAAAATTTCCTTATATATTCAGTTTAAAACTAAAATATATCCACATGTGCTCTGAGTACAGTGATAGGCGATTATATCAATACAATGAATACGACTTTGATTTCAAATTTAATTTTTATCAAGCTGTTAAACAGCATGGATGCACAAAAAAAGTCAAGAGAAGATGTCAATTTAAAAAGCTTCTCTTTTCGTATTTGATTACTCGTAAACTTGTAATTCGAAAAAAGCTTGTTAACAATCAAAACTTAAATAAAACAATCGTCTTCATTGTATTGGTATAATCGCCTTCCACTGCATAAAACCACCTTCCCTTGCGTGACCTTAATTATCTGATATAAAAATATAATTACATTTTAATTATATTTAATCCATGGGAAACTACTAATTATTATTACCATTGTCATATATTGTCATGTTTTCATTTATTGTTCATTATTTTTACATAAGATAATTATTATTATTACTATTAAATATATGTTCTAGACTGATATCCAGGCCCCACTCAACCGTCAAATTATCCAAAGCTCTGAGACCGTGATGTATGTTGTAAAGCTCGCCAACAACTTCCTTGACTACTTCATGGGCGCCAAAGACGGAATCGGCAACGACGCCGGCAAGACTGACGAGATGCCTAGAAGCGGCGGATATCAGATCGCCGGGATGGATCTCCTACAAATGGTTGATTTCGCGAAAACGATGTACAACCTTGGGAAGTAGGCGTGTCATCTTAAATTCAAGTAAGATTAAATTTGAAAAGTTAACTTTAATATAATTAGGGGCACACCCGTTGAACAACGGTACTGATATTGTCGTTTCAAAGGTTTTAAATTTCCACCATAATATCGGAAGCAAAAGTTACAGAGTAATGAAAATCAAAAATAAACAAATTTTTATGACAAAGCAGACAAAGCTTTAAAATATACCGCATCAAATTGGACATGATTCTTTAAAAATGGAAAGTCACTTAAAATTATCTATACTGTCCCTTTTTTAAATTTCAAATAAAACGTCTTTTATAAGTGTATTACTAGGATGAGACGATACAACTAATACCAAGTTCTCCATCCTGGGGAAGCCCAAAACGGCCTAGATCCCCCATCCTGGGGGATTTGATACTTGAACCCCTGCGAGAACGACCATCCCCTTGTCTGCCGCCTGCTGCTCAAGCTCTGCCGAGTAATATTCGAATCTCTTCAACCACAAAATTACGAAGAAGACTGCCTGACTGCCTGACGAAGCTCTAAATCTGTTTTCATGTTTTTCACTTTTCCAACCTTTAGTCTAGGTACAGGAAACGTTCCTAGATCCATACTGGGTACAGGAAACGAACCTATTTAGCAACAGGAAACATTCCCGAAATATAATTAGGAACAGGAAACCTTCTTGTTACCTTATCGGGAACTTAAAACATTCCTAGAACTGTATTAGATACAGGGAACATTCCCAGGACCTATTTAGCAACAGGAAACGTTCCCGAACCTAATAAGCAACAGAAAACGTTCCCGAACTTGATTAGGAACAGGAGACGTTTCTGTTACCTTATTGGAAGCTGGAAACATTTCCGGAGCCTAATTGGCAACAGAAAACGTTCCCAAACCTAATTAACATCATGGGACTCTAAATAGGAACAGGATACGTTTCTGTTACCTTGTTAGAAACTTGAAACATTCCTAGAATCCAATTGGGAATGATTATAACGTTCCCGAACCTAGTAAAGATTTTGGAACAGAAGAATAGGTAATTATTCTTCTTATTCACTAATTTTATTAAAGTCTCAGGTCATAAAGTAAATATCAATCTGATGTACGAGTTGTTTTATTTTGATGTGTTTTATTATTTCTAAATTATTTATCATGTAAAATATAACATAATCCCTTCTAAATCATTACTAGATTAAGAAATAGATTTGTGAGTACTTTCTCAAATTAGGTTTGCATAATGTACCATTGATCCAGCAAGGAACACAGTTTAAAGTTATATTGTTACAAACTTTACTTTACTTTAACTGTTGCTTTTCAAGTAACCATTATCGTACTCAATACAAGAGTTTTCGGAGATTATTAAACTCTGCTGACATTTTTTCCTGGCAATTCATTTATTTCCGTCCATTGACCTTCCCTTAGATCATAAAAAATTGGGTCCAATCGGAACGGCGTGATCGTTTTGAAGTTCAATTTAACAAACAAACAAACAAACAGACATGGTACATAATACAGTGTTGAATGCATTTGTATGCGAATAGTATGATTTTATTCGAATAGTCTGTATATACATGGATACATGATACACTCTACTTTATCAAAAGTGGTAGAAAATCATTTATTAACCTAACCTATCTTAAAACATCTTATTAACAAGACAGATCTATTTTACAATCTAAATGTCAAGGCTAAGATTCCACATTGTTGGTCGTAAATTGCATTTTAATTAAGCTGTTAAAATTCTTTAAGCGCAAAATTAGCGATAAACACTTTCACTTTAACACACAATTAATATAAGTTTAAGGCCAATTTAATAAAGTGCAGAGCTTGAAATTTTTGTGTTTGATATCCGGCGCATTCAGTAACTGATACCGATATCCAGTGGATAAACTTTAAGAATGAAGGCTTAAAGTCTGAAATCCGGGAATTTTTAAGTCTGTAGTCCGCCAATGATAAAAAATTGTGAAAGAAATTCTGCGGCTGAGGTTTCTCCATCAGCGTAAAGATCTTCGGCTAAGATTATCCTTTAAAGGCCGACGGTTCTTTTTTAAATTGGGCTGGCGTATTGACATACTTTGAGGGACGATTGCTTGGCCTCTATATAGATGTCTCGCTTCAACCATGTCCATTGTCCAATCTTATTGGATAATTTAAATACTTGCAAATCAAATTTTCGCTAATTACGCATAATAATTACAAAATTTCGCTAAATTACCTGATAGAAATTACGCGAAATTACTCCGTAATTTTGCTTATTATGCGTAATCATTACAACATTTTGGGAAATTACGTTAGATTGTACAAATTTCGCGGAATTACTTCGTAATTTGTTAGAAAGGAACGGCTTGGAGTATTTGATTTTTAAAAACAGTCAGTCAAAGAAAAAGCTACAGTGAGACCCAGGACCGGCAGAATAGAAAGACGACTGTTGAACTTGATTTAAAAATGAAATGCGGAAATTGAGCACTGTGCCTGGCAAAACTGGTATTATCGGCCAAATAATCGTCGTTTAAAGTATATACAACATGTAAAAAGATAAGTAGATATCAACATCGAATTTGATTCGACGTTAGCCATACCCCTTTCTTTTCTTGCAAACAGTCCCTTTAAATGTCGACTTCCTTTTCCACAGTTTCACAGGTCTTACTATATATACAAGACAAGATAAAAAGTTCATTTACAAAAATTTACAAAAATGAAGATTTTCTTTACAGTTCTACACTTCTGACCCTTGCAGGCTCACTCTCTGGTGGGGTTGTTTTACTCCCAGACGTTTTAGATTTACTCCCCGACTTTTTAGATTCACTCCTCGACTTTTCTTCCTCAGAATTACTCCCTTGTTTTGATTTAGCTCCAAGTCCGGGATACACCTAGAGCAAATTGTTGAAAAAGAAAAATAATTTTAAGAAAAGGTTACGGAAGTTTAAATATTTATTGTGTGAGCTCAATAATTCAGAATAAGGATAGGTTTATTAATGTAACCTCTTCCAGTTCTAATACAGACCGGGCTAAGCTCAGATTGGATAGTTCTATTGATGCAACATCTTCAGTCCCCATACGGACCCAGAGCTAAGCTTGGATTGTAAGTAGTCTTGTCTATATACAGGACAACGTGTTAGCTCTTTTGTAGTTAGCTGTAGGTTGGACAGAAAGTGGGACGGATAATATGTCGCCTAATCTATATTGTGTAGAGAAATTTATCTGTTAAAAGATGCCAGCTCAGAAGACATGCTTTTCGCACATGATTTGAACGCATGGAAAACCAAACCAACAGTTAGACCGGGAATTCAATTTTAAATTGAAGCCAATAGGCTGGGAACACAGCTTAACTGTGGTAGAAGGAAATAGGATCAGCCTGGGCTAAAACTGATATGAAAGTTAGTATTCAGCATGGGTCAGAAGAAGAAAGATTAACTCGTCGGAAGAGGCGATTGAAAGGTGAAGAGCTCCGGCTTTCCATGATTCATTAGTATCATTTTATTTATTTTTTTTAAATTGTAAATACATTTTTTTCTATACTCTGTAGATTTACTCACATCAGCTTCAGGCTTTAGATTAACTTTATTTCATACCACTTTTAACCCTATCTCTGCTGGGGTACTTGAAAACCAGGATATGCTGGGGGGGGTGGGGGGGGGGGGCCAATTTTCCCCCCCCCCTCTAAATCCCATGTTTGATGTCAAAATATGACAAATGATACATCATTGGAAAGCTCTTGTGCTCTACTTTTAGAATCTGCAAAAAAAATTGCAAATTTGCAAAAATTGAATTTTTTATCGCAAAATCCAGTTATATAGTAAAAATGTTTGCAAAAAAAAATTTGTCCAAAAACTGAAAAATTATACATTTTTGAAAAGCCCTTGACCATGCTACTTCAAATATGCCAAAAAAATTTGCAAAATTTTAAATAACCTGATTTTTAATCAAGAAAAACTAAAAATGTGCAAATTTCCTTTGACAGGTTGTTTGCAAAAAATTTTGCAATTCGTTTCCTTATGTCAAAGGCTTTCCAAAAAGCTAAATTTTATCAAAATCTGACAAGTGGAAGTGGGTCAAAACAAAGATTTAGTTTGCTACAAGAAAAAGCAGTCATTCAGGCAGTGTGCCTGGGGACTCAGGCAGTTAGTATTAAAGCCCGGTTTTAGGCCTAAAGAGAGGGCTTTGGGTATGTAGGAAAAGTCAGAAAATTTCATCAGCCTCAGTCCAATACTTTTTGAGTTATGTAAAAAAACTACAGGGGGGGGGGGGTCAAATTGAACTCCCCCCCCCCACGGCAGGAATAAGGTTAAATGGTAACATTATGTTTTACATTTTACATGAAAGGTTCCTTAATTATTTTTCACTAATTACCCTCACAATGTCCTGGAATTTCCAAAAGCTTTATACTATTCGATATGTTATATGCCGACGATATAGTCTTCTACCAGTGACGACACTGGTTATGATCAAATACAGGGTTACCCACAAAGGATGAGACTGTAAAGACGACCGGAAACTTTTTAAATATGACGTTTAGAAACTTAAATTATATCTTCTGCCTTGTATATTGTCTTTAATTGCCTATTTAATGATATTGCTAAGAAAGAAGCCAGTTTACTTTTGCCGAGAATCCTAAATACATGGAAATAGACGGTATAAATCAAGGGTGTAATGCAAGGAAAGTCAATTGCGGTTGTGTATACTCTGTGTTCATATTGAAACCAGTTCTCTCTGGGCGGAATTTGTAAACAAAAATAGATGCATCAGTGTTCGTTTAGTATCCGAGGAGGTTAAAAGCATTAAATTTTGATAATTTTGATAATTCACATAAAAGTTTCCTATGACCAGAATATTTCATTTATTTTTTATGTAAAAGATGGATCCTATGTCAGGCTTCGACATCCGTCTTGTGTTTACATTACCGCCCAAAGACAGTACACTGCAGTACAAAAGATGTGTACACTTCTGAAATAACTTTCCTTGCCTTACATCCTTGGTATAAATTATAAAAGGTCGTCTCTAAAGTATAATCCTTAGTTGGTAACCCTGTAGATGCATCTAGCGTATTCTTGTTTTTATTTACTGTATTGAATACCTTGCTGTCCAGTTCAACCTCTAAACATCGCTCTTGTGAGATCAAAAAATCCTAAACAAGAGATATTTTTTCAGTCATGCTTTAAGCTACGGTTGTAATTCGGATTTTATGCATGTAAAAAATTACGTTAACAGATCCTTCAATCTAATATCCAATAAACGTTCAAAATAATTTTGAATATTTTAGATTTTTTGTTTTTAAACTTTACCTTCGCTTCCCAGGCTAGACTTCCATCCGTGAAAACAAACATGACCCGGTCCTCTTCGATTACATACCTTAAACACTGCAGTACACTACATGCAGATTGCAGACAGTATAGTACATTAATGAAATCATTGTTAATTTAATTACTTTTTACTGTTCAGTACATAAATGAAGTTACTCTCCGGTACATTAATTACATTACTGTACAGTACAGTTTTATAATTAAATTACTGTATATTAATTTTTCGCGAAGTTTCACTTCAATCTGTTTCGTGAAAAAAATGCGAAATTTTCGCGAAATTTAGCATCAATCTGTTTCGCGAAAAATTCCGAATTAAAAGAAAATGTTAAATTCGTGTGAAAATTCATCAAAAAAGACTAAATATCAACCCTAGGTGGGGAGCCTAGGGTTAATATTTTAGCGAAATATGTTTTCGCTAAATTTCGCTTCGTTTTCGCATTTTTGCTTCATTAATTTTCGCGAAAAAAATTTGCGAAATACGAACGAAAATTTATGCATTTTTTGGCGAAACGTTTCGTTCGCTGCAAACCCAAGTCTGCTTAGAACAATTTCAATGTCTCATGTTCATTTGACTATTTAAAGCCTTAAATTGAGTCTAAAATCGTCTCTCTATCTCAGAGAGTTCTTGTTCTCACTGTACCAGGGGCGGACATAAGGATTCTGTAGTGAACTTTACTGAAGTAACCGAAGTAAAAGTTTACTGACTGTTTATAGGCATCTGCAAAATGCCGCAAAAACTTTTACTATCATGAAAATAGTCGTCTCTACACAAGTGCAGACTAATCAATAGGGAATGTTTTTTTTGTTTTTTTTGAAGGGAAGGGGTGAAGGCAACTGGAACTGTTACTTGTGGCAGCAAATGGAGTAACCCCTGCTATTCAGGGCCTGAACATATGTTCAGGGGTAATTATCCCTAGAATTCTAGGGAGGGGTATTTACCCCCAGGATTCTAGGGGGGGGTATTTACCCCCAGGATTCTAGGGGGGGGTAAATAACCCCAATAACCATGGGCGCCACTGCACTGTACATCATTACAATATCATAAAACAATGATAAGACTATTTATAATTTGTATATGTACGGTACATTACAGCACAGTACATACACAAACTATGTATCAGTGTCTTAACATGAATGAAAACAAGGTTTTCTAAAAATGTACCTAGTTGCTTGAATATGATTATTATACAGACCAATTTCCCAAATGGATGACAATTCTGTAGTTTCCTCCCTGTAAAATAAAACAATATAAAATAAAAATAAAATAAATAAATAAAATAATAATAAAATAAAATAAATGTCGTCTTCAAAAATATTCGTCTTCCAAATATAAAAATGATTAATTTGACTATATTTAAGAGAAAGTATAAAATATTTGAAATTTTTAAGAATATTCATCTTTATTTAAACTTAAATGTTTTGCCAATATCGATGTTTGGTAATAAAAATATGTTAAAAGTACAAAAGGTGGCAACAGAGAATGGACCAACTATACACGACGTAACAAGTGTCAAATATAACAAGGAAAACAAAATTTTCTCACATTAGTCGACATGTTTTCCAAGATTTAATAAAAAAGTGCAAAAACAGAAAATAAAGAACACAAAAAAATATCACTGATATTAATAATTTTGTTGGACACAAAAACTGAATTGACACTTGTGACGTCAGAATACAGCTGTACTGAGAGTGTACAAATTCTACGTTGACATCTATTGTACTAGAATCTATTTGGGTTTTCTCAGATTTTTCCGGTTTTGTACAAACGCCGAAAAGTGTTCTGGAAAATAAAGAAAAAAGGTTGTAACCATGCAACCCTGAGTTGGAACAAACATGTTTAACTCTATCCCGATTGGGCTGTTTTTGTCTGATATGGATAGGGGGGGGGGGGGGTTTTGCACCCCCCCCCCATGGTCCATATGATCCAAAGTCCAACTTTTCTAGGCCGACTTATTAAAAAAATATTTGACCTCAAACTTTAATGGTTTTAAAAAAAGCACAAAAAGTGCTTAAGAAAAATTTCATGTTTGATGTCCAAATATGACAAATGCTACATCATTAGAAAGCTCTTATGCTCTACTTTTAGAATTAAAGAAAAAAATCTGTTTACAACTATTGAGATTGAAAAAGTGAAGAAGTTTGAGCATTCTATTGCGTAAGTTAAAACAAAAACACGCCCCCACCCCCAATCGTGATAATTAAAAAAATAAAAACAATGCTCATGTATCTAATTTCTTTTTTTTAATGGAGGGAAAAGGAATTTTCTTACAAGCTCTTTAAGTATTTCCACATTAAACATATCATTTTTTCATTGAGTTATGTTATATTTTACTAGCTGAAGCGCCCGCGTGTTGCCCGAGGAAAATAAAATTTAAAATTTTTTTTTGAAAAAGTATAACAATTTTCTAAAAAAAAATTTCAGCCCATTCGGTTCGGCCGTTTGGCCGGCTATATGCCATATATATATATATAAGACAATTTCTGGGCAGAGCGCTGCGGCTAGGACAGGATAGAGGCCGATCGCCGCGGTTGGAACAGGTTAGGGGGCCGGGCACAGCGGCCAAAAGTCCATATAGCAGCTACGTGCTAGTAGGTTGGATGTGCAATATAGTGGATTTGGCGTAGGTCAGAAGAGGAGTATAGCGGATTTGCATAGGTCAAAAATTCACCATCAAATTTACGTTTACGTTATATATTATATTTGATAACGCTCTAATATTAATGTTTTCTGTCTACATAATCTCAAGTGGGGCCCTGTGTTTTAATAGGTGCACCCTGTATGTGGGTATACCCGATTAACAATGGTACCTTTTTGTTTTCCTGTTTAAAAATGATATTTTTCATGTTTTACAAATAACTTGCGTGTTTCTGAAGCGAAGATAAAAGATGGAAAAAATCGGGCATTTTAGGCTCCTTTAATACTAAGTCAGCCATACCTTGTGCATGATGGTTTAAATATTTTGATAGATGGTAGGTGGTAGATGATTATATCAATATAGTGAAGACGACTTTCGATTTCAATTTTGTTTATATCAAGCGTTTAAACAGCATGTGGAAACATGGAAACAAATAGAATCTGTCGATTAAAAAAGCTTCTCTATGATTACTTGTAAACAAGTCATTCATGCTTTTTAACAATTAAAACTTAAATAAAAATTCGTCTTTATCATATTGATATAATCGTCTACCACCGTACAATTTTAAACTTACATTGTTGGGGAGCCAGTTAGCGTTACAAACAACATTGCAGTTTTCCCAGTCTAAATATTGACAAATTAGACAAGTTACAATACTATAATAAAATAATAAGATTTAATGCACGTAACACTAGACATTAGGGACTTTTTTTTAGAAATCAGCCAACAGCCAACATCAACCTGTGTGTGCAATTAGACCTAATAAAAATAATGTGAAAAAAACTTCTCAAAATCGTCCGAAAGGTTCCCTGTAAAAAATAAACCTGTCGTCGTAATTTTGGTGACCCTTCATTTTAAAACGGGGACATGCCCGATTTACAACGGTATCCTCGAATTGTGAGGGATGTCGTTTTTTATTTCGTTTTGCATTTTTAAAAACTTACTAACCTTGTAACAGTTTAAACTAACCCTGTGTTTGTTTTAAGCTTTAAAAACGAAACAGAAAACGACAAACAAAAGCTTTGAAGCATAAACAATCGTTTTTGTCAAAAAAGAACTGGCAGTAAAATTGGTTAGAAAATTATACATATGCAGAGATCATGAATGTTGTCTTGGATTTGTTAGTTTTTGTGAATTTTGTAAAAATGGCCGCCTGATAATTGCAAGATTTCTTACTTTGATCTATCTCCTTTGTAAAAACGATTTTACAAAGACGACTTTTTTTGCCGGTTTTATTCTGGCCAAAAAAGGGCTGTTATGTCATTTCAAATGTACATGTCTGTTTATACATTTTTGCAAATATCCAAAACATGTTAGTCCAAGTCGCATGTAGTGATCTCCCAGTTTTCCAATTGAATATAATATGAAAAATTTAAAAATTAACTGTATTTAAGGACTGTTCGTACCCCATTGTGGGAGGTTTACCGATTTTTCGGCGGGATAATGAATTGGTTTTCAATTACCGCTCCTAGTCCTTTTTTATAGCCATTTGTACAAATAGATAAAAGCATCAAAATGTTTGATTTTAGCTTCACTCATGTAGGATTATTCAAATCATCTTCAAGATACGTATTTGTAATTTCAAGTGAACAAACTTGCAAAGGTGGCAATTACCAATTCACAACGATACTCTTAAAAGCTTTGTTTGATCAATTATGACTTAGATATCAATGTTTATGATCTTTAAAAAGTGTTTATTTTCAATTGTGATTTCTCTACAAAAATGACAATTGCACATTTATAATGCAGGAAAGCATGTAGGAACTATCAAAATTAAACACTTTTATACTTTGAAAAACAACAATATCGTAAACATGATTAATCAGAAAAAGGTTATGAGGGTACCATTGATCATCGGACATGGTCATCTTTGCATGGAGAGTCACTTAGAATAACGCTTTCAAATTTTAGTTTACAGTTCCCAGTGGGTCAGTGTACCTGTCAGGATGCCCATATGGCAGCTCATCTGGAGGAAGCTTTTCTTCGTCATTCTCTTCCCACTGTTCAGAAAGCTCATCAAAATCTGCTTCAGAATAGTCCAGAATATTCTAGAGTATACATTACAATAGTCCAAATTATATGGTTATATTAGTTCAGAATATTCTAGAGTATCAGTTACAGTAGTCCAGAATATTCTGGAGTATCCGGTTGCAGTAGTCCAGAACATTCTAGAGTATATGTAACAGTAGTCCAGAATAATCTGGATTATATGGTTATGTTAGTCCAGAATATTCTAGATTACACTTTACAATAGTCCAGAATATTCTAGAGTATACGGTTATAGTAGTCCAGAATATTCTATATTATATGTTACATTAGTCCAGAATAATCTGGAGTATATGGTTAAGGTAGTCCAGAATATTCTAGAGTATACAGTTATAGTCGAACAGTATATTCTAGAGTAAATATTACAGTAGTCCAGAACATTCTAGAGTAAATATTACAGTAGTCCAGAACATTCTAGAGTATACGGTTACAGAATTTCCAGAATATTCTAAAGTATGCGGATACAGTAGTCCAGAATATTCTAGATTATACGTTACAGTAGTCCAGAATATTCTAGAGTATATGGTTACAGTAGTTCAGAATATTCTAGATTATACGTTACAGTTGTCTAGAATATTTAGCGTATACGGTTATAGTAGTCCAGAATATTCTAGAGTATACAGTTGCAGTAGTCCAGAATAATCTGGATTATATGGTTATAGTAGTCCAGAATATTCTAGATTACACTTTACAAAAGTCCAGAATATTCTAGAGTATACGGTTACAATAGTCCAGAATATTCTACAGTATACGGTTATAGTAGTCCAGAATATTCTAGAGTATACGGTTACAGTAGTCCAGAATATTCTAGAGTATACGGTTGCAGTAGTCCAGAATAATCTGGATTATATGGTTATAGTAGTCCAGAATATTCTAGATTATACTTTACAAAGTCCAGAATATTCTAGAGTATATACAGTATATTCATGGCTATTTATTTATTTTCGCAAATACTGAAATTTACGAAATAAAGTATAAAACTCATTGAAAAAATGTCAAGACGACATTTGATAAATTCTTCCGATGTATTCGTAATTAAGGGTTTCACTGTAGTAGTCCAGAATATTCTAGATTACACTTTACAAAAGTCCAGAATATTCTAGAGTATACGGTTACAGTAGTCCAGAATATTCTTCAGTATACAGTTATAGTAGTCCAGAATATTCTAGAATATACGGTTATTGTATTCCAGAATATTCTAGAGTATACGGTTATAGTAGTCCAGAATATTCTAGAGTATACGGTTACAGTAGGCCAGAATATTCTTCAGTATACAGTTATAGTAGTCCAGAATATTCTAGAGTATACGGTTACAGTAGTCCAGAATATTCTAGAGTATATGGTTACAGTAGTCCAGAATATTTAGAGTATACTGTTACAAGGTTACATCTTCAATATGATAAAAGTTAAAAGTTATTAAAGAGATCAATCAGAAATATATTGATAATTAAGGTGCTTTCCAAAATTGTATTGAAATCTTTATTTGTAACTTTAGTAACTTTAGTAACAGTAGAAGCCGTTACAAGCAAAAATCTGTATGTTTTAGTTTTACGATACTAATCTAAACTTATCATATCGTAAATGTAAATTACCTTATCCTTAAATGTTTTATTTGGATTGGCTGTTGTTAACAAAATTAGAGCAACAACAGCTTCAAAAATCAACATTTTTCTGAATATTATTAATCTTAATCTTAATCTCAATCTCAATCTCAAACCTGTATATGACTGTATGGTTGATGTATACTGAGGTTAGGTTCCTGTTTAAGGATGAATGGTTGATGTATACCGAGGTTAGGTCCCTGTAGATGAATGTATGGTTGATGTATACTGAGGTTAGGTCCCTGTATATTAATGTATGGTTAATGTATACTGAGGTCAAGTTCTTGTATATGAATGTATGGTTGATGTATACTGATGTAAGGTCCCTGTATATGAATGTATGGTTGATGTATACTGAGGTTAGGTTCCTGTATTTGAATGTATGGTTGATGTATACTGAGGTAAGGTCCCTGTATATGAATGTATGCTTGATGTATACAGAGGTTAGCTCCCTGTATATGAATGTATGGTTGATGTATACTGAGGTTAGTCCCTGTATATGAATGTATGCTTGATGTATACAGAGGTTAGCTCCCTGTATATGAATGTATGGTTGATGTATACTGAGGTTAGGTTCCTGTATATGAATGTATGGTTGATGTATACTGAGGTTAGGTTCCTGTATATGAATGTATGGTTGATATATACTGAGGTTAGGTTCCTGTATATGAATGTATGGTTGATGTATACTGAGGTTAGGTTCCTGTAGATGAATGTATGGTTGATGTATACTGAGGTTAGGTTCCTGTATATGAATGTATGGATGTATACTGAGGTTAGGTTCCTGTATATGAATGTATGGTTGATGTATACTGAGGTTAGGTTCCTGTATATGAATGTATGGTTGATGTATACTGAGGTTAGGTTCCTGTTTATGAATGTATGGTTGATGTATACTGAGGTTAGGTTCCTGTATATGAATATATGGTTGATGTATACTGAGGTTAGGTTCCTGTATATCAATGTATGGTTGATGTATACTGAGGTTAGGTTCCTGTATATGAATGTATGGTTGATGTATACTGAGGTTAGGTTCCTGTATATGAATGTATGGTTGATTAGAAAGTCAATTATATATTATACACTAGTCTATTCCCTATTGGTCAGAAATCTTATTAATAATGCATGAGTTATAAATCAGATATTTTACCCAATTTAGTTCCAAAACCAACGAATTCTATGAAGGGAATGTTCGTTATTTTGAAATGTGCTTTATTCCAAAATATTCGGGTTTAGGATCCGTGCGCTTACCACGTTATTAAACTAAATGTCCTGTGAGTCTTAACTTTAGAACCAATTTTTACCCAGTTATTGTAATTGCTTTTTTTGGCCTATATATTCTAGATATTTTCTCCTACGCTTTTTTAGGTAGATTTTTAATGAGAGATCAAAATATGACTACGAATTTTCCACTGATATCTGAACAACTATGTAAGCTATATCATTTTTTAGACAGCCCCGACTTTTAAGCGTCGCAACGGATTAGGCCTTGGTTTTTCCTTGCCAGGGTACCTTTATTATTTTTTGCCCTTGGCATATACATTCTAAAACTCCAACGGTCTTGTTTCTAGCTTAAGTTTTGTAGGAGAGTGTGCTCAACTTGGTCGCAGTGATTCCGAAACAGACAGAGGATGTAGTTCATTGTACTTAGATTCCCCTGATTCCCGTGATTTCCGTGTTCCTGAACCACTGTTCCTGAACCACTGTTCCTGAACCACTGTTCCTGAACCACTGTTCCTAAACCACTGTTCCTAAACCACTGTTTCTAAACACCACTGTTTCTGAACCACTGTTCTTAATCCACTGTTCCTAAACCACTGTTTCTAAACCACCGTTCCTAAACCACTGTTCATAAACCACTGTTCCTAAAACACTGTTCATAAATCATTGTTCCTAAACCACTGTTTCTAAACTATTGTTCCTAAACCACTGTTCCTAAACACCACTGTTCCTAAAACACTGTTCTTAATCCACCGTTCCTAAACTACTGTTCCTAAAACA